AGGGAAGGATGAATGTGGCCAAGTACAGGGATATCCTGGACGAAAACCTTCTCCAGAGTGCTCAGAACCTCATACTGGGCCGAAGGTTCACCTTCCAACGAGACAATGACCCTAAGCACACAGCTAAAATAACGAAGGAGTGGCTTCACAACAACTCTGTGACTGTTCTTGAATGGTCCCGCCAGAGCCCTGACTTAAACCCAATTGAGCATCTCTGCAGAGACCTGAAAATGGCTGTCCACCAACGTTGACCATCCAACCTGACAGAACTGGAGGGGATCTGCAAGGAGGAATGGCAGAGGATCCCCAAATGCAGGTGTGAAAACTTGTTGCATCATTCCCAAAAAGACTCATGGCTGTATTAGCTCAAAGGGGTGCTTCTACTAAATACTGAGCAAAGGGTCTGAATACTTATGACCATGTGATATTTCAGTTTTTCTTTTTTAATAAATCTGCAAAAATGTCAAAAATTCTGTGTTTTTCTGTCAATATGGGGTGCTGTGTGTACATTAATGAGGAAAAAAATGAACTTAAATGATTTTAGCATATGGCTGCAATATAACAAAGAGTGAAAAATTTAAGGGGGTCTGAATACTTTCCCTATCCACTGTATATGTCAACAAGCAAGGGAATGTGCATTAGTAAAGAGATAGTAAAACAATGAGAGTAGAGTACTTATAAATACATACAGTGCAGTATGTACATACATGTACATACTGTATATACATATATATACACACACACACAGTCTGGATTCAGCGATCTATATGTACAATGTATATTTACAGGTATTGCACTGCATTGTCCAGATATGCTGTAGTGGGTCAAGTGTTCATCAGAGTGATGGCCCAAGGAAAGAAACTGTCCCTGTGCCTGGTTGTCTTGGCATACAGTGACCTGTAATGCCATCCAGAGGGGAGGAGTTTGAACAGATTGTGTCCTGGGTGTGAGGGGTCTGCAGAAAAAATGCACCAATAACAATGTTTTAAAGCAGCAGAAAAAAGCAGGGAACTATTCCTTTAACCAATATTAATTACAGCTTATAAACCCTTTATAAATGGTACAAATAGAAAGTGGTACTGCTCTATTTGCATATTGCCATAACTCTGTTGTCCATCATGTTTAAGCACATTAACCAGAAGCTTAAGTAGATCTGCTCCCACATGTGCATCAGTGTGATTAAATGACTGAGCAACTCTGGAAACATATCAAACAAATAGTAGTTTTATACTTGCCAAACAGTCCATTTTGTTCCCAGCTACTTTCAGTGTACAAGGGAGTGTCTTGACTTAACGTCTTCAGGCCACAGTACAATTTATTGCTATTTATTGCTGGCTTCTCTATGTACTGTATAGGCTTCACTGATAACTACCCACCTCTCTTCCCAGGACACCTACTAACTTACAAAGTGCAAGGCAGGGAATACCCTCTTTCCTGATGCTGTTCAGGAAAATGGCTGGGAATTAGATTTGGATTCCACATTCTCCACCTGACACCCAAGAGTTTTCTGTAGCATTATTTCTCTTTAAAAATGTGCACAAATTAGTTGAGTAAACACTGAGTTAAGTGTTGCTTATTTGTATGTTATATGTGAAGGAGAAACAAACAGCTTGCATTGGCCTTCATTGCTTTTCCTGTGCTTGTATGAAATCACCCCTGTCTGATTCTCTCTGCAAAGTGCAGCAATCATGTCTTGCCTTGCCCTCCACTCTTCAAACACAAGAGCACTTGAAAAGCTGATTTCCTGCTCCTCAGACGGAGCAGGTTTCTTTTGTCAATTGAGGAGCCAGGTCAAAACAATAATTGTTGGCAAATCGTGCCTGAAAATACAATGTTCATTTGATTTACATCATTTTCATAAGTCTCCTGTCCAATCCCCCTTAACAGCTCACAGTGTTACATTAGGGCAAATCTGTTTCTTTTCTGGGAACAGTAGATAGAGTGTATGTGCTTGTTTGTGTGTGTGAGAGAAAGAGGAAAAGAAAATGTACATTACAGCTATACATATCTATTAATGCATGTGATGTGAGAGGGCAAGCTGTTCCCCCTGTTTAATTGGATTAGAGTCATTAACTGACTGTTTATTAAATGGGAGAGGACCTCTCTCCCCTGATTTGTCTCCAACTCTTTCCTTTTGTCTCTCATTCCCTCTCTATCTCTCTGTCACTCTTCTCCATTTCTCTCTCTCCTTCTCTTGTTGCCTCTGATCCCTAATCAGCAAGACGGCCTAGAAGTGCCTTGAGGCCGAATGCGAATGAGTGCAGCTGTCCAGCGCAGATTACTGCCACACACAGGCTTGTACAAATTCACAGACACACACACACACACTCACAGTGTGCATGTGAACATAGCAGCCTGTGCATGAACATATGTCATTCACATTCTTGTCACTTGCTGACACATATTTTCCAAACATATGTCATACTATGAATATAGCTCATACAAGCACACACACACACATGCACGTGCACAGAGACTGTTCTGATCACATGCCTGTAATGTGGACATATGCTGGGACACACCCACTATTCTTAATGTGTTACTGTACATGGCCTGTTTATTAGTGTCATGGGAGTGTGAGCTGCAGCCATATTTTGCTAGAGTTTATAGTTAGTGCTACACTTTGACAGCTGTAATAATCTTAGGCTTTGTGTATTTTCTATGTCACTGCATTTTCATGTAATTCACAAATATTTTGTATTTATAATAAAAAAAAATGGACTGTTTATTTTAGTCACTTGTACACTGTTCACACTAGATTTAGGCCTGAAGTTTAAGCTGTGACTCATATGCTGCCATATAACCACAGTCATATGTGTTTGCCACTGAACAGCTCCAACAATAGCTGTGCATGAATGCCTTGCTCAGTAGCAGGTAGTAAATGAATGTCTAGCTATCATTTCACTGTCTCACTCACATTTATCCTGCCACTATAGAACTGAACTGACAACCTTCCAGTCACAAGTCTGCTTCTGTAAATGTCAGGCTGCAGTGGCCTAAAGACCTGTGAGGACACAAAAACCTATGCAGTGCAGTTAGGAGCAAGTGTAATTACAGTGCTGTTAACATACCCTGCCATAGAAAGGTGGGCCTGAGTTGGAAAATTAGAGCTCTGGCTGAGTGCACCCACTGTGCTGGGTTAGATATTGATTTGATTTTTGATTTGATTTATTAATTCAAGCATGTAAAACAGTTGATATGTCAACACATGTAATTTCACACATATCCAACAATAATAATCCAATATCAATTTACTTATACCTAGTACATGCTTGAACGGAGTAGGAAGAAGTTAGACTTATCTAGTCCTACCCCATGACATCATCTTACAACTTTTAAGTCCTAAGCAATATCTCTACATAAATAATTATCCTCTACACCACACAGGTAATATACTACAGAATTATTACAGTGTTAACATTCATACATAATTACATTCATAGATAATTATCTTCTTCGCCACACAAGTAATATACTAAAGAGTTATTACAGAGTGCTAACATTCTTACCCCACACCCACAATGTTCCATATGATTAATCATTAAACATGTTCTTGCATGTATCTTGATTGACACATACCTTTATACTTATGTTTAAACTCATCAATTCAATTACTATTCTTTATGTCCACATTTAAATTATTCCATAGTTTTACACCATTTATGGAAATACAGAATCTTTTTTTGGTTGTACGTATAGCATGAATTTTTAAATTTAACTGACCCCTTAAATTGTATCCCCCTTCCCTTTCATTAAATAGTTTTTGAATTCCACCAGGTAATAAATTGTTCCTGGCTTTATACATAAACAC